GACTGCCAGGCAGAGAGGGGGACACTTGGAATCGGAGCACGCAGGCCACCTCCTGATCTAGGGAGGGGAGACCCAGGCACACGGGGGGCTTCTCATCCAGGGTCACTGGTACTCAGAAGGGCTTGACACTAGGAGTGCTTGTGACGTCAACGGAAGGTCTCTGCAGGGCCACACCCCAAGCCCAATGCGCTACCATCATCGTCTCGGCAGTGCCCCCAGTGCCCCAGACCACTGTCCACGATGTACAGGTGCGAAAACAAAGGACCCAGGAGGAGAAAAACCTGGTTCTGAGCCAGCGAGCCCGCCTCCCCCGACTGAGGACAGACGGCCAGGGGTGCCTCCCAGCCCCCCGCCCTAAGCCCGGCCCACGCACACAGGTGCCCAGCCCTGACCACGGCCCCTGCAGGGATGCTGCCTGCCTGCAGAAGGCAGGGAGGCAGTGATGCAGGGAGGGGGCTCAGCTGGCCCTGGGGGCCATGGGACTGTCCCTAGAGAGTGGCCCTAGGCTGCCAGCCCCGCACCAGTCAGGTCAGGGGAGGGTTCCAGAGTCCCAGGGCTGCACGTCTGTCAGCCCAGAGGCCACCCTGGCTGCACGTGCTCCCTGGGCCCCGTCGCCCTCCTCAGGGCCCAGGTGCCACCTTTACCTTCTTGACGTAGAAGAGGAGCAGCAGTTTGATGATCTGCATGGCGGGGAGGAGCGGGGAGAAGAGGACACCGAGCCTGAGGGGGAGGAGGCGAGGGGGCTGCAGTCCAAAGGCAGGGGTCGTGACCCCATGCTGCGCCCTGGTCTAGGACAGCCTGGCTCAGGCACAGGACCCCGGGAGCTGGGGGGTGGGAGGGCTGGGCCTTGCTGTGTTCCAGAGGGGGAGGGGGAAGCTCCGCGACCCCAGGGCCAGGCAGTGGGACGCAAGTGGGAGACACTCACCAGGTTAGTGTCTGCCCGTAAATCAGCTCCAGGACGTTCCCAGCAATGTCGAACTCAGGCTTCCCCCTCCTCTTCAGTGTCCGCTCGGAGATGAGCCTGGGGCAGAGGAGCCCCTGGGGTCCGCAGGAGGGCAGGCACCCCGGCCGGGGACCCACCTGCCACGCTGACCATCCCGCCCATCCCCGCCCCCGGCACCCAGCGAGGTCGAGGGGAGATGGCAGCCGGGGTCCCACCCCAAGGGGTCCGCACTGCCGCGGGCTTCGTCCCTGTCCTTTTTCGAAGCCCGTACAGATGCTCCCGGGTGTAAACACGCATGTCGGCATCTGACGTTTTACTTCTAAAAATCTTATTAAGTTAATACGTTCTCAAAGAAAACACAAAGAGAAGGAAATACAAAACACCCGCCACACGAGCACCGCAGCGAGGCCCTCGGAAAATGTCCCTCCACTTCTATCCTTCCTTCCGACCCCTTTTTCCATCATATGAGACTCACATTGTATCATATGCGTCACTTTGAAAACTGTTTTCCTTTCCGATCTAAAAATAGGTTCCATCCTGTGTCCTAAGTGTTTTTCTCGGTTCAGTGATGTCTTACAGAGGAGGTTTCATGGGTGGAGATTTAAGGCCTGCTATTCAGGGACTCGAGAACCACCCAGGTGACCCTCGTCACCACGCTGGTGAGGATGCTGGGAGCCCTTCTGAGCTGGGAAGCCCAGGTGTCCAGGAGGTGAGAGCTGGGACCCACCCCTGGGGCCTCACCTCCACACCAGCTCCCCGAAAAGTGTGTCCAGCAGCGTGAAGAGGAAGTCCATCACCATGAGCCGGTACAGCTCCTGGCCCACAAAGTTCTCCCAGCACTGAAAAGGACGCAGTCTCAGCCCCAGGGCCCCAGACCCCCGCCACCCAGCTCACCCAGCCCATCGAGGGGCCTCCAGTACACTTATAGCCCAGATAAAGTCCGGTGAGGGCCACCCCCTCCGCCCCACCCTGGGACCAGGGCAGACCGTCCTGAGGGGCCCAGGGAGCCTCACCCCTACCAGCAGCAGCTGGCCCTCACCTGGTCCCGCAGGGTGCCCACCCTGCGGCCCAGCCAGTGGTAACAAAGGATCCCCAGGGTGACCATCTTGAGGATGAGGTTCCTACAGAAAAGAGCCGGTGTGGAGGCTGAGGGAGGGTGCCTGGGAGACAGCGGGTGCGCCCCAGAAAGCCCTCACCTCCCCCTGCCCTGGCCATTCACCTGCAGATGGCTACGTACACCTCCAGCACCGGGGAGTCATGGCGCTCCAGGGCGGCCAGGCCGCGGTACAGGTAGGGGGCCCCCAGGTTGAGGAGGCAGACCACCAGGGGCAGGGCCAGCAGCGCCCCCTCCCGCTCAGTGGACCCTGGGCTCTGTCAGAGCAGGGGAGGGGCGGTATCACCGCAGGGGCCCAAGGGACAGGGCCGTGTCCACTGCGGAGGGAGCCGTAGGGCGGGGTCCCAGGGCGGAAGGAGGGGTGGAGATCACAGGCACACCTCCCTCCACCCCAGGCCTCGCTGTTCAAACCGCACAGGAAGGGGGGTGGGGGGAGGAGGGGAGGGCGGGACACAGGTGTCAGAGAAGAGAAGAGAAGATAAAAAACAAAAGGACAGAGAAATGAGAGTGTGAAACAGGCAGAGAAGAACCAAAGCAAGGCCCGTGAGGGAGGCGGCCTCCAGGGAGGGCTCGAGGCTCCTGGCCGCCTTCCAGGTCCCCATCTCATAGCTAAAGCAGGAGTCTGACCCCCAGGCTGGGGCCCCCTGGGGGCTGCCCACTCCCCCTGCACCTTGATCATGAGTTCCGAGAAGTTGTAGACGGCCACGGTGCAGCCCAGCGTGGTCCCCAGACACAGCAGCCACACGAGCCCCAGCACGGCCACGCGCCGCAGTCGCCAGCACATGCTCCGAGGGCCCCGGCGCAGCTGCCACACGGCCAGCAGCTCCTGCGGGCGGCAGCCGGCCTGTCACCCACCCCCGGCACAGGCGCGAGGAGCCCCGGGGACGCGGAGTGGACACACACGGAGGGTCACCACCCGCCCACCCCCAGCGCCCGGGCCGGTCCCCCGCCCTGCTCCAGGGCCGGCCTGGCCTCTCCCGCCCGGCCTCCCCAGGTGTCCTGCCTGCAGGCAGCTGTCCCCTCGCTGACCAGGAGCCCCAAGGCGCTCCCCAAGGCCAGTGAGGGCCCATCAGCCAGGTCAAAGTTGTGAGCTTCCCTGATGCAAACCCCACACATATAACCTCAGAAAGGCAGAGAACGTTCCACGAGGCCCAGCTCGGCTGCCTGCTAGGCCTGAGGCCTCAGACAAACAATGGAACCTTGTGCCTCCTTGTCCTCCCTTGTGGCCGGGAGCTACTGCTGGGAGCCCCGCGGGCCTCTCCCATGGGGGCCAGGGGACAAGGGGACTCCCGGGAGGGGGCCCGAGAGCAGCCCTAACCGTCGCCCACTGGAGCAGACGCGCACTGGTGTCCCCGGGACCGGGGTGGCGGTGGTGGCCTCAGCCCCCACCCCCGGCAGCTCACCTTCAGCTGGGTTCGGATGTTGTCGTGCTGGAGACGGGAGGCCCACTTCTGAGTCACTTTGTAGTCCCAGGAGCAGAAGACAGAGATGGCGTGGACCCCCGAGGTGCTGCCCACCCGGTAGCTCTCCCCGAAAGAGCGGGACATGCTGGGAGAAGCAGAGCCGAGCAGGGATTGAGTGGGGGCGGAAGGTGCAGACAGAACACCTCGGATGCTCCTTGCAGCCAAAACCCAGCACCCACTCGGAGGAGCCCACCCAGTGCTGGATGGGCCTCCCGTCACCCGCCCCCTGCCCCACCTCCAGCCCAGAGCTCTCGGCCTCCTGGTGGGGCCCACCGGCCACTCCAGATCCGCTCTGTCCAACACTGTGCCCACCAGCCACAAGTGGCTAGAAGAGGGCTCAGGCACCAGTCCCCACCAACATGACCAGCTGCCTCCCACCCAGTCGTGGCTGCGGAAGATGCTGGCTCACCTCAGAGCCTTTGCACTGCCTCTCCCAATAACCCAAACACCTTCCTCTGGCCTTTCTCTGCCCACCCTTATTTAATCTCTCTC